CACTCTTATGTATGTGTGTATGTATGTATGTATGTATGTATGTATGTATGTATGTATGTATGTATGTATGTATGTATGTATGTATGTATGTATGTATGTATGTATGTATGTATGTATGTATGTATGTATGTATGTATGTATGTATGTATGTATGTATGTATGTATACCGCATGCTTTAGCACGTTCAATCCAGAAAGGAGGAAAGATAAATTATATATTTTCCGCTTAGGTAAGCAAATTAATTTACCATGTCTTAGCATCATCATCATCAGCATCATTATCATCATCATCGTCATCATCATCATCTTCTTCATCATCATCAGCAACATCATTATCGTCATCGACACCATTATCATCATCGTCATCGTCGTCCAACCTAAATGTAATTTAGTGGCAGCTAAACGCGAATATATACTTTTCCGTTGCAAATACGTGTATATATTTTTCTCTCTTTCTCTCTCTCTCCCTCTTTCTCTTTCTCTCTCTTTATCTTTATCTCTTTCTAGTCTTTTCTCTATTTTCTGTCTTTCTTTCTCTAAATGTGTATGTCTCTTTCTCTTTCTTTCTTTCTCTCTTTCTCTCAACATGTACGTATATATAAATTTAAATAAATTGATATCGTTAATTAGCCCCAAACAAATGCTCAAACGAAGCAGCGAGTGGAAAAAATGGCGGGAGACGCTTAAGCAATGCAACGAATAAAAATTGGCGGGAAAGATTTCCTTTTTCCGTGATCATTTGGTTGTCCGAGCGGAAAATTACATTAAACGGTCGATCATTGTTGTTATTATTCTTATTGTTTTGATTATTATTCTTATTATTAATATTATAATATATAATATTATATTATATTATATATTATTTGAAGTTGAGTGATGGGGAGAGGCAGAAAGTTAGTTCCAAATGTACAGCGGTGACGATGATGTAAAGAATGATAGAAAAATAATAAAAATAAAAAACGAAAGTAATTATAATAATAATAAAAACAAAATAATAAAAAAATTAATTATGATAATAATTGCAACGATAATAAACAAATAACCAAAACTATTAAGCTATTAAGACCTATTAAGACCTGAAATAATTTGTGAGAGAGAGAGAGGAGAGAGAGAGAGAGATAGAGAAAGAGAGTTAATAACAACAGTCCAACGATGAATATGAATAGAAAAAAATAAATAAAAACAATAGCTAAATACAGATGGTAAAAAAAACTAACAATTACATCAACACCCTATCAACAAAGTAACAAAACAACAAACTGACATCAACAGCAAAGTAACAACATCAACAAACAACATCAACAACAACATCATCAACAACAACGACAACAAACAACATCAACAACAACAAACAACATCAACAACAACAACATCAACAGCAACATCATCAACAATAACGACAACAAACAACAACAAACAACAGCAACAACGGCAACAACATCAACAACAACATCAGCAACTTGAAACCTTGTTTCTAACAAGAACCATATCCCCTGCTGCTTCGGCTCTTTTAGACATTTTGGAGTTTTTTTTTATTTCACGAACAGCAAAAAAGAGAAAAATTTAAATCAAAATGAACTTTTAATCGCTCTATTATTATTATCTTATTTAAATATTTTAATTATATTTCGAGATTTAAATAAATAATAATTCTTTTATTTCTTTAAAAATTTCTCTTTATTCTTTCGATCTCTTCTCGGGTCTCAGCGCTCAACCGCAATATCCACCTTAATGAAACAAGAATCGCTCGCTAAATGTATGCTGGAGCTCTCTCGGAGGAATGCCTGATGAATGGATGGAAATAGAGGAATAAAAATAGACGGATGGATGGATGGATGGATGGATAGAAGGTCGGAAGGAGGAATAGATAGATGGGTGGATGAAAAAAACAGAACGAACGAACGCATGCAGCTTAGTTTTATGTTTGGTGTATTAAATATTGTAAGAGATTTGATCTATCTTACACTCTCACTTTTGCATCACTATCTCTCTCTCGCTTTCGACTTTACTCTCTCTTTTTGTTACCTTCTCGCAGTTTCCTCTGCAGAAAGGCGCTAGGAGTTAAAGTAGAGTTTACTTTTAAGCAAAGGCTCAGTGAGCGTGCAATGATACTGATGGTGGAGAGGAAAAAGATGAAGACGAGGATGAAGATGATGATGATGATGTTGTTGTTCCCTCTTTGCGTTCGATCGTTTGTGTGTTATATTATTGCTATTAATATCACAGATGATTGTTAAATAAAATTTGAATATGTATGCTGGTACGTTCTCATGTATGTATGTATGTATGTTTGTATGTTTGTTTGTATGTATGTATATATGTTTGTATGTTTGTTTGTATGTATGTATGTATGTATGTTTGTATGTTTGTTTGTATGTATGTATGTATAAATGTGTATATGTATGTGTGTACGTATGTATGTATGTGGGTACGTATTTTGCATGCATGTGTGCACCAAATTCAGTTAATCTGAACAAACAGCAAAGCAAAATAATTTTGAAATACGAATTTTCTTATCATTTTCATGACTAGATTCATCTTCTGTATCTTTCTCCTCATTGCTTCCACTATCATTTTTTGTTATCATCATTTCCTAGATTAATCTTTCCATTGATTTTTTTTTTGTCATTACATATCGCCTTCTCCATTCTATTATCATCCTATATCATTAACATCATCATCGTCTTCATCATCATTTTATTCATCACTACCATTGCTTCGACTTCAGCGATAAGCTAATTTTTTTTGACATTCTTCTGAATAATTTTCACCATTTTACCTGGCCATTTCTGGGTTTTGTTAAATTTTTTACTGATCATTTTCAAGATTGCAATCTTCATCATTGCCATCATCACAATCCCCATCATCATCATCATCGTCCCTATCCCCATCATCATCATCGTCGTCGTCGTCATCACCATCATTAGTTGCAGCAACAGCAGCACTGCTCCGCATTGTTTTCTGCATCTTGCTAAAGTTTTATCGAAAGTAACAAGACATGTATACATACACATACATATACATACATAAAAACATACGTACATACATATGTACATACACATATATAGATATCATATATATATATATATATATATATATATATATATCAATAAGTATAAAATAGCTAACGATTATTAATTATGGATAAGCACTTATACATGTATATAAAAACACAAACATATATTGTATATTTATTTATGTATATTCATACAAATACTGTATGTATATATATATACATGAAAACATTGTATATATGTGTACATACAAATATTGCATACATGAAACAAAACGCGTATTATACCCATATGCATGTAAGTTAAGAATGGAATTTAAAGGGAATTTTCAGGAATTTTTTTTATATTGTATGTGTGTGTGTGTGTGAATGTGTGTTTAGAGTGCTTGTTTGTTTGTGTGTGTGTGTGTGTGTATATATATATATATTGTGTATGTGAGCACTTTGTATGTTATGTTTTCATTGCAGTTGCTGATGGTGCTGCTCATTACATTGTTGTTGTTGTTGTTGTTGTTGTTGATGTTGTTGTTGATGTTGTCGAAGTTGTCGTCGACTTAATTGTTCGTGTTGTTTGGATTTTGGGGTTGTTGTTTTTGTTGTTTTCCGTCGTTGGCGTCATTGTTGATGTTGTTGTTGATGTTGTGTTTTGTTGATATTGTTGTGGCTGTCATTAATGTTAATGTTGATGTTGGTGATGTTTGCTGTTGCTGTTGCTGCTGTTGCTGTTGTTGTTTTTGCTGTTGCTGTTTGCTGTTGTTGTTGTTGAACTTTTTGTTGTTGTTGTTAACATTTAAATGACACCTTGATGAATGCACTGCTTCTGTTGAAGTCTTCCTTGATTTATTGTTTAAGAGATTTTGTGTTGTCTAACTTTAGAATTTTTTCTGTATCGCCGGATTTGAATTTAAATACTACTACCACTTCTACTCGCTACTTCTGCCACTGCCATTAATATTGCAGCAGCTGCTGCTGCTACTACTGCTACCACTACTGCTGTTGGTACTGCTACTACTAATAATTTTCCACAAATATAATTTTCTACAACAAACACAAATTAATTCCTCCCTTTTATCCAATACATCAGATCAAATTACTTTTTTATTTACTCTCTCTCTCTCTCCCTCTCTCTCTCTTTCTCTCTTTTTTTCTCTCTCTATCTCCCTTTTTCTTTTTTTCTTAACACAAAAAACAGACAAAAGAATGAATTGAAGAAACAAAAAATAAAAACAAACAAACGAATGAATGAATGAACGAATGAGTGAGATTATAACAGCTTAGTGAGAGCAAAGCCTTACGGGTTATTGCAAAAAAAATAACATAGCAACACACACACATACACATGCACACGCACACAAACGCACAATACGCACACACACAAACAAACGCACAAACACACACAAACCAACAAACAGACACATCTATTCATCCATAATGATTTATACGTTATTAAGACTTTATTTAAACATACATAGGCATGGTTTGTATGCATACATGAATATACGCCTGTTTGTTTGTTTTTTTGTATGTATGTTTGTATTTTTTGGATGTATGTGTACAAAAATACAATCGGCAACGGTGTGTTTGTTTGTATGTGGGCATGAATTTACGTCTGTTTGTTTGTATATGACTTTGTATTTTTGGATGTATGTATACACGAATACAATCGGCAACTGTGCGTATGCTTGTTTGTTTGTATGTATGTTTGTATTTTTAGATGTATGTATGTACAAATACAATTTGCAATCGTGCGTATATATATATATACATAAATTGCAAACACTAAATCAAACTGAAATACCAAAATATCGTTCAATACAAATGTTTTCATCTAATAGGTCTGGTATTTAGGTATTTTTGTATGGAGAGTGTGTATGAATATTGTGTGTATATCAAATCAAATCAAATCACTTTTATTCAATCAAACAAAACAAAAAACATATATATATATATCTATGTGAAAGGTATTAGGTGTACGTGTTATATCCAAATGCTGGGTTAATTAATTTGCTGAAAAATTTAAATACAATTCGAAAATAATAATAATAATAATGTTAATTAATACTATTATTATTCGATTATAATAATAATAATATTTATTATTATTTATTATAAACATTATTGCTATTTATTATAAATATTATTTATTATTATTTTTTATAATAATTGAAATAAAAACTATCCACACGACCGTAGCAAAAATACTTTAAAACACTGGGTACGTAAAATTGTCATCTTCTCAAATTCAATTATCGACTCTAGTACATTTCCACACACGCACCACACACGCACACGCAAGCACATACACACACGCACACGCAAGCACATACACACACACGCACACGCATCACACACACAGACACATACACACACAAGCAAACACATACACACACACACACACCATATACACACAAACACATACACACACACACAAGCACTCACACCACACACACGCCATATACACACACAAACACACACAAGCACTCACACCACACACACGCCATATACACACACAAACACACACACATACACACACACGAAAGCATTTTAAACAATTTCTTTGAAAGTGGCTGCTGGTTGTGATGATAGTAGTGAGTGGAAGCAGTGGTAGTGATAAGAGTAGTAGTAGAAGTAGTAGTAGTAGTAGTAGTAGTAGAGGTAGTAGTAGTAGTAGTAGTATAAGTAGTAGAAGTTGTAGTTGTAGCAGTAGTAGTATTAGTAGTAGTAGTAGTAGTAGTAGTAGTAGTAAAAGTAGTAGTAGTAGAAGTTGTAGTTGTAGTAGTAGTAATAGTAGTAGTAGAAGTTGTAGTAGTAGTAGTAGTAGTAGTAGTAGTAGAAGTTGTAGTAGTAGTAGTAGTAGTAGTAGTAGAAGTTGTAGTAGTAGTAGTAGTAGTAGTAGTAGTAGTAGTAGTAGTAGAAGTTGTAGTAGTAGTAGTAGTAGTAGTAGTAGTAGTAGAAGTTGTAGTAGTAGTAGTAGTAGTAGTAGTAGAAGTTGTAGTAGTAGTAGTAGTAGTAGTAGTAGTAGTAGTAGTAGTAGTAGTAGTCGTTATGGTATCAGTAGTAGTAGTACCAGCGGCAGCAGTAGTTGTAGTATTTGATGTTGATTATTTTGGCGGAATGTTTTACAAGTGCACTTGTTCCATTTCTGAAATTTTCATCAATCATCATTCTAGTATTATTATTTTTTGTTCTTACTTTTTCCTGTTTCATTTTACATTATTGACTACTATAACTTCTGCTGCTACTACCGCTACTGCTACAACTACTACGATATTACTACTAATGCAACTACAACTACTACTACAACTCCTATTATTACCACTACTACCAAGCTACTACTATGTCATTATTATTAATACTATTACGTCAGAAATACGTCATCATTCTGTCATCTTTGTGTCAGCATTTAAAAATCACACGATCATTGCTTGGGGCGAAGTCACAGATGAATGTCTCTGTATTTCTGTATGTACGTTTTTGTGTTTGTATATATATATATATATATATATATGTGTGTGTGTGTGTGTGTGTGTGTGTGTGTGTCTTTGTGTGGTGTGTGTGGCATGTGTTTATGTGTTTGTTTGTTTGTTTGTTTGTACGTATGTGTATGTTTGTAAGTTTGTGATTTTACTTTTATGCATGTATACCTATTTGTGATTTATATGGCAAAAAGATGGAGTATTTGTTTGTATTAGTTTGTATATATGTGTGTGTTGTATGTATGTGTGTGCGTGTGTGTTGTATATATATATAGGTGTGTGTTTGTGTTTTTGTGTGCGTGTGTTTGTTTGTGTGATGTATGTGTGAGCGTAAGTGTATCGATGTCA